CACTATTCAGATAGGCAAAACAAACCAAATAAACTGGAATGAAATTTATGCAGCTTAAAGAGACCTAGTTTAAGTGTAAGTTGATTTAGCCCAACTGCGGTGAAGAAGCATCAAGAATGCAACATCAGCCTCAGCGTGGGATATATATATATATATATATATATATATATATCGGTAGGTGACGGACTGTATTCATAAGCGGGTGGCGAAATCGATCGCAGTTTCAGAGTTATCAGCAGACAACGACCACAGATGGCTCATAATGCAAGGTGAGCTTTCTCCCAGGCAGCAAATGGACAGAATTGAATCACACGTTCTCTAAACGCATTGTGGCTAGACTGCGCAATGGAAATGTCCAGTGTGTGTTGAGGCAGTTGCGTAGTGAAGGCGTAAATGCATTTGTTGACTGGTGCGTGCGGCATTTGTGTGGACAAACGTGATAAGCGTGTACAGACGAGGTGTCAGCCGATACACAACTTCCCGCCTCCGGAAACAGACAGGTATGCAGCAACGGCACGGTGCGACATCTCTTGCAGACCGACAATTGAGGTGGTGACGAATGCCGAAAAAACAGCGAGCAGTCAAAATCAGACACGTAAGGCGGCAATAATAGGCTCCAACATGAACCCCGCCATCGTCACAAACGCAAGCAACGGCTGTGGAGGATGCGAAACAGCAATTCTATGCCATAGCACAAACGAAATAAAAGCTATGGAAGATTGTAGTGAGTTCGAGACAAAGTGATGGCCGACCAGTGAGCCATAAAAAAGGGCGTCAACAGTACGCCGGTACGCAGTACCGACACTTCGCAGCCACGTAACCACCAACAGTCGCGTGTGGGCTAAGGGTACTGCGAGGGTCACCAAGTCCCCTACACAGGCGCGAACCCATGACCATCGGATTGCAAGGAAGACGTCTTTTGTTTTAGACCACGGGCCCTTCAGTGAGCCATAAAGTTCGCCATAAGCATGTAACACAAAAGACGTGTGCCCGGGACAGAAAGTACTCCCAACAACCAAAAACCCCAAAGCGTCCAAAATATGGAAGACGGTTTGGGTCCAAAACCGTGAAAAACGGACGAGTTAAACAAAGCAGCAGTTTCGTGTCAAAATACAACACCGTCACCGTCGTGGAACAAAAAATATGTCGAATAGAAGACAGTGGTACCCAAGCAAATTATGCCCGAGGCGTGGTGGCTAAAAGAACGTCCCAGCTTCCCAAAGCAAAATTGCTTTTAGTTGTTATGAGATTATCGGGGTATTCAATGGCAAGTGAGTGAATAATAGTTTCCACAAAAGCGTTTGTTTCCAAAATGGCAAAGAAAAAGAAAACTTAAACAGGATATTCCGAATTCAGATATCACGCGTATTTTATCAGCTGTCCGGCCCGTAGCCTACAGGTAACGAGATTGTCTTGTAATCTGACGGCGCGGGTTCGAGCCTATGTATGGACAGGGTGACCCTCGTAATATCCTTAGCCCGGTTGCTACCGGTAGTGGTTGCGCGGCAGCGAAGCGTGGACATTGCGTACTGCTGATGCCTTTCATCAGCTATTATGTATCTTGAAGAGTATGGAATGACGTAGATTAAAAACGTGGAAAACTATCTTGCAAGGCTGTGGCCCTGGTTGGATTTTCGATCAAGAGACTGCCACTGTATGATCAACTAGCCTGATCGATCGACCATGGAGAAAGTGACAGGCCATTAGGCAATGAGGTTATGAAATAAAATGACTGTATGCTGCGGTAAAATAACAGTTGCGATCAAAATAATGAAGCGCACTGGATCAAGGTGCGGTGATTTAAACCCATAAAACGCCAATTGGAGAAACAAGAGATGGAGACAGAGAAAGAGAAATGATTTGGTCAGTAAGTGGAAGGGAGAACATACAAATAGAATGTTGGACCCACGTGCGGACAGGTAGAAACAGGGAACTAGATGTGAGAACATTTTGTGCTACCCAGTTAGAAACGTCCGGTGGAAGGGAAAGGTGGAATACTGGTGTGATGAAAATTGAGGCTAACAGCCAAAAACGCATCGAGTGTTCGGTAACTTGCATTATTCTCATTATTTGCTGGCACCAGCTATGCAGAATAGACATTCGACAAATGCTGATAGGCGGTTACATGGGAGCAAATAACATTAAGAAATCATGGTAAACCATTTGAATCTGATGGACAATCCAGTGGGGAGCCAAACAGCCAGTTGCTAACCCACTGCTGATGGGCATCCTTGGTATCCACTCGGTAGTCCTAACATATGACAGTAACGTCATGAAGGCACAAATCGTTCAGGAAGATTGGTCGGTCAGCTTTCTCTGCGCACAGCAGTCATGCTTCCGGTCGTCATCGTGTTAAGCCCACCCGCAGTGCACAATTCCCCTCCGTGGCTCCGAGCGTCAGATTGAGAACTCATAGTCGCTATGAATACACAGCTCACACAGTAAACAAGGTGACCTTGTATACTGAACGAATGAATAATGCCATATTAGACGCGAATTTCTGGTAGCACCAGGTTGGCTAAATCCATCCTCGGTCACATGTGTGTAAACCGTACTATGCACAGAAACCGGGTGGCAAATGGATCTGCCTGTGCGCATCCAGCGCTCACATTCCTCGGGTGTGGGGAGGAGAGAAGTGATCCAAAGCCAGTGATGTGTGTGTGTGTGTGAAAGATGCACTCAGTGTATTCTGCACCATGCGCAATAAATAGCCAGAAATAGAACTATGAGTTGCCGACGTGAAGCAAATGCGGAAAAGCGTTGTCGCCGTTTCACTTAATATCGGAAAAAGCACCGAGAATCAGCAGTATGAGCTGAGGTACAGAGCATAGTACGCTCGGGGGTACATACGTTCTGCGAGCGTAAAACGCCGACAACATTTTGTCAACCAATTAGAGTATCTGTAGGGCTGTGAGAGCATCAGCTGTCGTCATACAGTACAGATCCAGAGGTCACCGGTTCGAGCTTGGGTAGGGGATCGGGTGACCCTCCCACCAGTATCCAATGCTCAAGCGCGATTGGTGGTGAATGCGCGGCAATGAAGCCGCGGTACGGCGTACGGCTGTTGCCATCTCATGCATTACTGACACATGCGGACCAGCAGCTGTCTCACGAACATTTACGAAAACAAGAAAATAAATGGTGCAAGTTGTCCAAACATGACAGTAAATAATACAATGCATCGTCAACCCCACTACCATTAACTCATAGGTCCTTTTCAATAAAATCGTGCATGTAGTGAGCGCGCGTGACTGACCGATTGCCACTGAGTGGCCATTTTGAGTACCTATGGCCGCCGGAATATGACACAGGCTGCTTACATTTTGACCAGTAAAAAAACTCGTGTAGTCTCAGGTTATCAGTAGTGCGTTATAACGTTCTGGGGATCGAAATCCGCTGAATGCAGACGCTATTTGTACACAGGAAAGGTGTTCACAACATATGATGATGCTACACTAGAAAACTTGTCTGCGACCGGAATTCGTCCTAAATGTGTCACAATGGGATGGCCAAGGGCATTTAAAGGGACCATACATGGAACTTCAATGGTTACTCCAGTGTATCAAAAATAGTCACTCGCGCTATGCAAATATCTCATCAACACCATCATCAATACACGTTAGCCGACGGTAAGAAACGCACCTCAGCTAATGGGCCGATATACATAGCCGAGATAGGATAGAAAACATTAGAGTACAAAAACTGAAAAAAGTAAAGTAAAGCTAAAATCACATTATGCATTAAGTTGAGATGGTTGATGGAGGGGGAGGCTAAAGGAGATAGGAGGGACAAAGAGGCTAACACTGCAAACGCCATTTGGGCCGGCTCTTTGCCATGTCAGCTAATGTATCCAACCAAACGTGTTCAACGTCCTTCAGACCCCAGCCTGGCAGTCTGGAGACACCAAACAACGACAAATTCGAGATGGAGGTTTCCAATCCTCGACCAAGTCATCGTTCCCTCTCCCCTCTTCTCCCATTCACACCCTCGCGCACAAACGCACAATACAGAAGTCAGTGAGTTGGGTTGCGCAACACATGATCAAGCCATCGGAGCCTGGTGCGTGAAATAATGGTGCTGAGCGGTCCACTCGCTCTTCCTGCACCAAATGCGCGACCCAGAACACGCTCATTGATCACGCGGGCTTCCCACCAGACGAGCCAAGCCTCAAAGGCAGCGATGGTCGAACGCAACTGCTGATCTAGTGGGCCACGTTTCGCAACCGCACTGGAGAGTTGTACGTACGCTGCATTGTAAATTCTGCCCTTCAGGGCGAGTGATGTCAAACCGGCGATACAGTTGGCAAAGACTGAGACTGTATTTAAGAGCAAGTAGAAAGGTTTCTGTACAACTCTATCGAATTACGAAAAATCAAAAACATTTAGTTGTGAATCATCAGCAGTTGTGTCTGGTCCGTTAATCGTTTATCCTTGTTCGGTTAGGAATTTGTACTAGTGTCATTATTTCCGGGCATACAAAGTCTACTTTTGGCATTGTATGTGCATCGTTTCATAAAAACACAGATTTCCGAAATAATCGTCGATACGGGTTTTAAAACACTCCACAGAATCGGCCTCTATTTATCTTCCTGGTAGTGTATTCCATAAGTTTACGATTCTTCGTTCGATACAAAGCTGATGTGATACTCTGTTCATGTTGGGGACCCTGAGTTTGTAACGGTGTCTTCGGGTGTTACAGGGTTCCTGCAGATGAAATATTGGCCGCAGTATGGGGAAGTGATTTAAGTGTAGTACTCGATGGGTCATAATAAGGTTAATTCTTACTCGGCGATAGGATAGTGTGTAGAGTCTGAGCCTTTCACAACCTTTTTCATACGGAAGCTTTTGTAGACTCGGTATCATTCTAGCTGCGATATGCTGGATTTTCTCCAGCTTTTCATTTTCCCATTGGGTTATCGGATGGTAAGCCGGGGCGCCGTATTCAAGGATTGGTCTAATGAGCGAGGTGAGTAGACGAGGGACGGTTTCTTCGGACCATGTGGAGAAACTGCGTCTTAATGTTCAGAGCATACGAAGTCCCGCACGGTACAATTTTTCTGTATTTTCTAGTGATCTCATATCATGTCGTGAGAGAACTCCTAAGTCTCGTACAGACGTGTTGGGATGGAGCAACAGGCCGTCCAAAGTGAATGATCGAGTGGCTGGACGTCTGGTGACACTGATGAACTCCGACTTGCTTGCATTAAGAGTGAGTTGCATTTCAGTGGACCACGTTGACAGTCGATCTAAGTCATGCTGGAGGCGAGCGCAGTCGTCCTGGTTCTCAATGATCTTCCAAATTTTCAAATCATCTGCAAACAGGGCACATGGTGACTGGAGCTGCTGCGGAAGAACGTTGATATGAATACTAAATAATACTGGCCCAAGTACAGTTCCTTGAGGCACGCCACTAGTCGATGGGAACCAGTGTGTCAGGTAGCCATTGACCTGTACTCTAAACTTTCGTCCCACAATAAATTCGTGTAACCACTGAAGTAACGTGCCACCGATTCCGTATGTCCTCAGTTTACGAAGGAGTACCTCGTGGTTTACTGTCAAATGCCTTACTAAAGTCGATGTACATCACGTCACCATCCTTCCGTTCGTTGAGAGCTCGTACCCACTGGTGGTTTGCGTACATCAAGCTGGTGATGCAGGACCGCCCTATCATAAAGCCATGTTGCGCTGGTGTCAATACGTCCATCGATTCGAAGAATGATAGCAGTCACTTTTTCACAACCTTCTGGAGAACTTCGGATAATACCGAAGTCAAACAGATCGGTCTATAGTTCTCTATTTTACTCGGATCACCACCCTTGGGAAGCGGTCTCACTATCGAGCATTTCCAGATTGGCAAAAGCACCTCTGGATTTTGCTATACGGCTCGTGACCTCATTTTCATTCCAACGGGCGCTAATATAGCTGCCCAGATATTTAAAATTCTAGACGACTTCTAGCTGCTCATCGTCAAGGGTCAGCGCAGTAGTGGGTCTCTGCCAGTATTGGAGAAAGAGTTTGCATTTCGAGGGTGCAAAGCATAGCCCGAATCGACTGACAGCCAGAGATAATTTATCCAGTACAGCTTGGCACATTTGTGAGCTGTCAACAGACTTGGGCAAAGTCATCAACATACTCCAAGTCAAGAAATCGATCAGTTGGGAGCAGCTCCAGACCTAAGTCGTGTCCAGTGAACGCGATTTCCATGACTTCATCGATGGCGAAGCTAAAGAGAAATTGTGAGAACGGACAACCTTGCTTCACATCGCTGGAGATATGGAACGCCGGCGAAAATATGCCACAAACCCTCACACCTTTCCTCATCAGACAGTCACAAAAGACATATCGATCCACCAAATCGAAAGCACCTTTGATTTTGAGGAACAAGACTACGGTGGGTCGGCAATAAACATGGTGGTGCTCTAAGAATTGACGTAGTGTGAAGAGGTGGTCAATGCAGCCACGATTTCGACGTAACCCGGCGTGTTCCTCGCGCATCTGGCTTTCACAGGCGCTAGTTAGTCTATAGAGAACGACAGAAGTAACGAACCAGAGGCAATTGAGATCAGACTGATTCCTCTATGACTGCCCCATTCCGAAACAGGAGCCTCCCTTGAAAATGGGGACTATAACGGAAGGGCTCCAGTCTGTCGGGACAGTTTCCTGCTCCCATAGATGCACTATTAATATACGTACATCGTAAAGAAGCGCATGGTCCCCAAATTGGAAGTGGGCTAGATGAAGTCCATCTGCTCCGACAACCTTGTTCAATTTCAGCCGCCTGATCTCACGTTCGATTTCTGGGCGTGAGGGTGGATCCAAGGAGAAAGCCCAGGGAGTAGGGCGATAATTGGCCGGCGGAACTCTCTCGACGAACAAACAACTGGGAAGATATGGAAGATAACCAGGTCGGAATAAGTGCCAGTTGCAATATGGATCGGTAGACAAAAAGCGCTTGACCCATCAAGTGGATTGTGACTTACCGAAGAGGAGGGCGGTACAACAGAAGTGAGAGGTGTTTCACTGAATGCGCTTGTTGGTGATATGTGAAGGTGGGACTCATTCCCATGACCCTTGCTCTGTGTGCTAATCTGAGGGAGGGACGATACGGTGTTCAGATGAAACGATGGACGCGGCGCCACGTTCTCGTGTCTTGGAGGAAAACGGGGTGCAATCGACACCAGAGATGTAGAACCAGGGGGAGCGGCTGTTCCATTGAAAACATGAGGAAGGAACGGGGCTGTGGGTGGTACAAAACCATGAGAGATTGTATTCGGCGCAAGAATTTGACTGAACGCACCGGGTCGCTGCATTACAGAAGGAGGTAACGGCCTAACAAGGCTGGGAGTTGATGTGTAGCCAGATGGATTGAGGACGCCCAGTACACCAGAAGACGCAGGAACGTTGACCGAGTCGACCAAACTGGGTAACAATGCTCCCACGTTAGACTACAGTGTAGAACAAAGAAGATATAAACAGAGCATAAAATACAGTGGACAGTGTGTGAACAACAAGTATAGGCAAAGAAGCATGATTATTCGAGAAGGCTACCGAAATGGCAATCAACCTTATATAACAAATAATGAGCCACTGCAAGCTTAACCTCTCCGTACACAATGTGTACATAAGTACACACACAAACTATTGCCCAATACTAATGGCCAATGAAAATTTCAGCTCAAATTGTGTGCAGAGAGGCACGATGGATAGTTCGTTACTTTTTCACACAGTGTTTTTAGCTTCAAAGTGGCGTCTCATGAAAAAAAAACACTATACGTTTTTTCAGCGCTTTCAAATTCTTCCTTAAGGTAAACATGTTTCTTCATAGCTCTCTCAAGATGGTCTTTAACGTTATCAAAGTGCATAAGACGGGCGCGAACTTCCCTAAATGCTACGGTTCATTGAGTGACAAGGCCCCTGTCTGTGTACTAATCTGTTATACTATGTACTGATGTGAAACTGACCACTGAACGAACAGTACGCAGTTTTAATGGGCCTTTGCGCTCTCTGGATGCAATTTGATAACACGAAGCACCATCTTGAGGGAGTCATGGAGAAATATAATTTCGTTAAGGAGGAATTTGAAGGCGATGTAGATGCAAGTGACTTAGAAGGTACGGTTGGTAGGTGCTCTTATCGTACACTTCGCTAACATTATCTATTTCTAAGTGAACACATTAGCTATGATTAATAAAAGGTATTCTAATTCTTCGTGTACTTTTATTCTTTCAAGGAACAGAATAACATTCGGTGATAAATTTTTTAGTGCGATGTACAAAAATGTTCACACGGTAACTCATTAGAGCAGAAATGCAGATACCTAAGTATGGTAATTAAATGCAGTATTTCGAAGATTTTCACGATTATGGATACATTTTGTCTGGATAGTGTTCCCGTGTATTATTTATTCAGTGTTTAACATGTCTGCTATTCCGCCTTATGTTATAGGAGCAAAACTTTAGAAAATTAAGGAATTAACGCCGTATGCAATTATACTTTAGTTAAAAAAGGAAGACGTCTGACAATGGATGATTTATCGCAAGGTTTGAGTGAATACGATCTAGTCACCCTGTTCTGATGATTTGGGGAATGAGCCTTGGTCCACAGGACGAGCTGCTTTAGGGTGATAGTGATATCAGAAATATATTTGATAAAGGCAAGATCAATATCAACAATGCACGTTAGATCAGCGTGAGAAAAGCACTTCAACCAAAGTGCCGTAATACATATAAAAACTAAGAACTGCAGAATATAAAAAGTGAAAAAGGAAGTAATATAAGATGATGCTAAAAATCAAAATATGTACGGTGTGTAACCGTGGTTGGAAAGGGAAGGACAAAGAAACGCATGTCACAAACGCTACTGAGATGAGGCACTTAACCATGTCAGCTAATGTATCCAACCAAACGTGTTCAACGTCCTTCAGACCCCAGCCTGGCAGTCTGGAGACACCAAACAACGACAAATTCGAGATGGAGGTTTTCAATCTTCGACCAAGTCATCGTTCCCTCTCCCCTCTTCTCCCTCTTCATACCCTCGCGCGCAAACGCACAATACAGAAATCAGTGAGTTGGGTTGCGCAACACATGATCCAGCCATCGGAGCCTGGTGCGTGAAATAATGGTGCTGAGCGGTTCACTCGCTCTTCTTGCACCAAATGCGCGACCCAGAACACGCTCATCGATCACGCGGGCTTTCCACCAGACGAGCCAAGCCTCAAAGGCAGCGATGGTCGAACGCAACTGCTGATCTAGTGGGCCACGTTTCGCAACCGCACGGGAGTGTTGAACGTACGTTGCATCGTAAATTCTACCCTTCAGTGATGTCGAACCGGCGACACAGGTGGCAGAGATTGGCACCTCGCGATGTTTCTACAGGGTTCGTGACCTTATTTTCAATCCCGCAGGCGCTAATATAGCTGACCGGATACTTAAAATTCTAAACGACTTCTAGCAGATCACCGCTAAGGGTCAGCGCAGGAATGGGTCCTTGCAAGGCTTGGAAGACTTTGCATTTCATGGGTGTAAAGCATTTATGGCAACGAGGCTGGACCTAACCGTAGTGAAGTGTTATGAGTCCCTTAGTGATCGATTGAGCTGTGCTAGGTGGTGCTTTTCGCACCTTCAGCCACTCATACCAAATTGGTCATGGGTTTGAGGTCAGATAAACTCAGTCTCCTGGTTATCCAGGTTGGAGTGGGAGTGGCCCATTATTCCTTAAAACGGACTTCTTGTAGACCACTGTCAAACCTACTGGATTGAAGTCACGTTTTGATATCAAAGGCTTTGGTTGAGAACCCTAATCGTTCTATTTTATAGGCTTGGGCAACCTGGCAGTAATTTGCCCACGTCATGCAATGACTTTATCTTCAAATAATTAGTTGACGCCATCGCAGAGGATAATCCACGGCGCCCTATCTGCTGCATCGGGTAGGGTGGATAGGAGTCTGGATGCTACTGCTCAAGTCTTCCTGTATTCTTAGTCCCTCTTACGCTTTTCACCCCTATCGTCCCCTTTTAACGTTACGTTTATCCCCGTTTGCAACCCCAAAATCCTTGATCCTCTCCAACCTTGCTTTGATAAGCGCTTATCTGCTAGTTTCAACTCACATGCAAACGCCAGGTGTCACTTGTGTCCTGTTGACAGGCCCATGTCTAGCTAAGCGGTCAAGCCCAGTTCACAGGCTTCTAATTGGAGCTCCCGATCTCCGTTTAGATTGGCATGCCTCAAAGCATACACACTGTTATAGATCGGTCACAGGCAGCACATAGTCGAACATTTGAGGCCACCTCACGATCTATGTCTACTGCTTATCGGAAACTCGCCTAGAAGACTCGAGCGCTGTGCTCACTTTGCGATCCCCTTCAGGTGATACTAGCAGATGATGTAGCCTCCAGTGTCGGCGTTGCCCACAGTCCACAAGTTGAAGCTGCTCTGGTTGATTGGGTTCCAATTAGTAACCGGATGTGTGTCACCCGACTGGCTGGCTCGTTCAAAGCCTCGAAGTCGCGCGGGGATAATAGGTGTCTGTTTGTTAAGGTTGCCTACATCTTACAAACTGTAGCGATGACTCGGTGGAAGACAACTTCCATCACCAACTGAACGAGCACCGGTGTCACAGAAGAAGCACGGACACCGCACTGCTGGCTGGGGAACTGGGCGGCCAACATGGTTAAAGGCTCTCGTAATGATAGCGGTGAGCGGTCGCTACACTTATGTGGAGATGCTCATCTACTTATCACGAGCAATAACTTCCGACATAGCACCCGCCGGAGGGTGACATGATGCGCACCAGCATTGGACGTAAAGAGATCACATCGCGATCACTTACCGCTACGTAGAAAACTGTGATTCGATTTGTAGCACGTGTGTGGACACTGAGCATGCTGGTTTGCGGATGCGTTTTGATGGACACCCGCGACGACGCCATGAGCGCAAAGACACTTGCCAACTGGCGAATCCAGATGTTCTGAATGAGTATCGAGATACACCGTCATTCGGGTTGAGTAAGCGTCCAATGAATACAGTAGTAGGATATGGGTCGCATGTTTACCAGGCCTCATTAACAGCAGGCAAATCCTTATGTGGTAAATCTGATTGCCAATCTGGACACTGAGTCTCTAGGTAGTCTCTGGAACTTATCGCTGCTCACCGGCACATTCCGGTTGGAAGCGAACACAGTGAGACTCGTAAAGACCTCCGGGCAAAACTGTTTGCTGACCTCAACAGAGACAAGGAAGCCTGGTGGTTTTATCATGCATCCGAGATGGAGACCGCCACTGCCCTTGGGAACCACCGGAAATTATTTCGTTAGATACGGGAAACGGGCAGTAGGAGACCCAGTGTTAGTGAAACTCTGTGACGAGAATGGATATCCAAAACGCTTGGAACGTTGGGCTAAGCACTTTGAAAGGCAATTTAGATTTCTCACCGGCTAGCGTTAGCCATGCTCCATGGGATGCCCTTTTGGTCCCTGTGTTGCTCAGAAGTTGAAGGTGAGATCGGACTGTTTAAGTTGAATAAGGCTCCGGAAGCAGATGATCTCCCTCCAGCACTTTCCAACTTCGGGGGCCCTGCAATTACACGAGTTACTAGTGAAAATGTGGGAGCAGGAGACTGTGCCCCGACCGACTGGAGCCGCTAAAATATAGTCCCAATTTGAAAGGGAGTCCCAGGTTCGGAATACGGCAACCATAGAGGAATCAATCTGATCTCCAATGCCCCAAAAATTGATTACTTTTGTCATGCTTCACTGATTGACTGGCACTCGAGAAAGTTAGATTCGTGTAAAGCAAACCGGGTTTCGTCGAGGTGCAAAGCGTTCCTCCAAGATTGCAAGGGGCCGTCTTCTGCGCTGACCCTTGGTGGGGGTCCGCTAGAAGTTGCTCAAAAATCCAACCACCTAGGCCGTTGTATCAGCGCCTGTGGAATCAAGGTCACAAACCGTATAGCAAAAGCTCGAGGTGTATTTGTTAACCTTCGCCACCTATGGCGCCGGCGCGACATCACCCTCTCCCTGAAGGTTAGTGTGTACAATGTAGCCGTACATTCAAAACTCCTGCACTAGATCGGCAGACATAAAGAGGCTAAAAAGGTTCCACCACGGGTGCCTTCGCAGTTTCGCTCGTATATGATGGGAACGCCGCGTAAGCAATGGGCGTGTGCGACGCCTTGTTTATGGCCCAAGAAGAGAAAGTGAACCGCTCAATACCGTTATTTTAGGCGGCAAGCTCCGATCGCTAGGCCACGTAGTATTGCGCATGCCAGCACACCGATTCGCACGACGCGCTGTATGCGCGCCCGGGTGTGGATGGAAGAGTAGGGGTGGCCAAGCGATGAATTGGTCAAGAGGAATGAAGGCCCTTAGTTGGAAGTTGGCCTCGGTTCGAGCCTCTCGGCTCCCTGATTGGGGACCGAAGAACAACGAACACCTATGGCTGGAGACACTTGCTGACATGGCTAGTAGCAGACCTCAATGGCGTTCGTGTTGTGAGTTTCTCTGTCCCTCCCCCTGCCGCTTAGCCTCCCCTTCTATTACGACCTCACTTCTTAGGCATAATATAACGTTCTCGCTGCACAATAACTGGCTGGTAGTCATCCGGAATGGTACCCATCCGCTACTGGTGTGCCTCTGTTACGTGAATTTCTTCTTCTTTGCTTATCCATTACGGCACCACAGCTGTTTTCCAGCACTAACTAAATTGTACAATGATGATGATGGGCGAAAGGGATAGTCAGAACAAGTAAGAGTCAGTGATAATCGGTCCATCGCTGCTTGACACAGACTAGACCAATGTCAAGAAGTCGCTGACCAGGAAGCAGCTCCACACCTTGTAGGTCTTGCTCATTGAACGCGGTTTCCATGACTTCGTCGATGGAGAAGTTAAAAAGCACTGGTGACAACGAGCAATCCTGTCTCGTACCACTTGGGATTTTGAAGGGCGGCGACAGTTTACCATAAGTTTTCACTCTACTCGAACTATATGCGTACAGCTCTTTGATAATATTTAAGTATTTCTCGTGGACACATTTCCTGTACAAACAGTTCAAAAAGGTACATCGGTCCACCAAATTGAAGGCGCCTTTGATATTGAGGAACAAGACTAAGGTGGATCGCCAACAAATGTTGCTGTGTTCCAACAGCTGACACGTGAAGACGTGGTCAATACAGCCTCGATTTCGATGAAACCTGGCTTACTCCTAGTGAATCTGACTTTCACAAGTGCCAGTCAGTCTTTGGAGCAGGACAGAGGTAAGCAACTTAGAAGCAATTGAGATCAGACGGATTGCTCTATGGTTACCGCATTCCGAAGGGGAGCCCCTCATGAAAATTGGGACAATAGCGGAACGGCTCCAGTCTGTTGGCACAGTTTCCTGCTTCCACAGCTTCACAAGTAGAATATGCAAATCATACAAAAGAGCAAGTCCTTCGATTTCGGAAAGAGGTGGAGGAAGTCTATATGCTCCTGCGGCATCGTTCAATTTCGACAATGTGGTCTCACGTTCGATTTCGCGGATCCAATGGGACGACGCAGGGAGAACGGTGATCAATGGACCATAAGGAAGCAGGAACCCGACCGATTAAACTGCTGGTCTCGCTAAAACTAGGTCTCATGTTGCCCGTTTCCTGCATCATACGGAATAACATCCGATGGTGACCAAGAACAGCGCCTGTCTCCATCTCCAATGCACGACAAAACCACCAGGCGTCCTGCTCTCTTGAGGCTAGCATGCAATTTTGCCCGGGCTTTTCGAGTGTCGTGTTCGCTTTCAGCCGGAATGTGCCGGTGAGCAACGATAAGTTAAAGAGACTGCGCAGAGATCCAATGTTCAAGTTGGCAATTTAATTTGCCGCATTAAGACGCCTGCTGCTAATACCGTCTGGCGGGTATGCCACCAGTAGCCTTCAAATGTTGGCAGTGGGAGTTTGCACAGCTCGGATGCCAGCGTACTTTGATACGCATCTAGAACATCTAGCTTCGTCAGTTGGCAAGTAGCTATGCACTCACAGCGTCATTGCGGACGTCCGCCGAAACCTAACCGAAGGTCAGCACAAACAGGAGCGTGATCGAAGTCCACGTTCGTGCTCTAAATCGAGCGACAGTTTTGTACGCATCTGCTTTAACGGTAAATGATCGCGATGCGATCGGTTTATATCCATGGCTGACCGGACGTCGGCGTGCGCCATGTCACTCTTCTCATGGTACTTGTCGTAAACACTCCCTGTCGTAAAGTGCTCATCTGTCTTTGCTCACTTCCTGATGCCGCGTCCACCACAGCTGGGGAAAGTCAGAATAGACAACATGGGTGACCTCAGAGTATTTAATACAACCATTCATGGCTATAGTTATAAGTCAAACATACATCATATCGACATTTTGGTCATAAGGTTCCTCCCCCGTGGTTGTTTGACGCCGGAAAGATTTTATGCGACGTTGCGGCTCAGCTGTCTTGGCACAGCTCACACGCGGCCCACGCGTATGACTGGGTTTTCGATTCGACCACCAAAGTGGGTGAAACTACATTGAGTTAGCCGAGTTGTTCGCAGGCCCTTTGGCTAGCGCCGAGAAAGTGCATCCCGCAATTAGGCAGTACTGCCTCTCCAACAGTTTTGTGTCGAAAGTTAGCGCACGCGAGAAATAGGCAAGCATCTCCATAGAAGTGTAGCAACCGGTCACATTAAGAGAGGCTACACCAAGTTGGTTACCTACATGTGGGCAGTTTTGCAACTTGGGAGTTTACATCCCCAGAAAAGTACCACACTATCTGTATGTTTTCTGTAACTAAAGAGCTCGTTCAGTTGGTGATAGAAGTCATCTTTTGCTGAGTCAGTGCTAAAGCTAGTGGGCGCGTATGCGGTAATGACAAACAGGCATCGTTTGTCCCTGTATGATTTCGAGGCTTTGAACGAGCAGTCCAATCTGATGGCGCACATCCGGCTGCTGAAGAATCCAATCGATCAGGGAATGAAATGCACTTTATGTCTTTGTTGCACAAGTGATAAAAACAGTTGCGAAACAGTTCGCAGCAAGTAATAACAAAAGTGGGATCATTACAATGTATTTTAGCCTTGGATTTTGAGACCGTTTGGTAGTATGGTTCACATTGTGTACGTCTGTATACATGCTCTTATTTCTTTATGTGAAAATCAACGGTCAGAATTTTTCGTTAAACATGTTAGGTAATCGAATAGGTCACTATCAATGCAAAATATAATTTTTTGGAGTCAAATATTTGTCTATGTACGAAGAAGTTAAAGCCAAGCCGCTAAAGATATAAGTCAAAGGTGTACAGTAACCGTGAAGCAAGACTGATACTCAAACGGAAGCGGCGCTAATATCTGCGTGGAAGGAAAGGTAAAGCGAACTCGCCTGATACATACCTCAGACTGATGTGATATCGCATGTCCGGGCAACATTCCGGAGACAAATATGGGAGTAAGAGAGGGGATGACGGATGAAGGAACAGAGGGCAAATGGCTTGGGGGAATGTAAGCAATGGAAGATATGGTGGGCATATTTGCATCCGGGGCGCTGAGGGGTGCTGGTCTGGAGGAGGCAGACGCACCAAAAGAGCGACTTGAAGAGACTGAGATATTCTGTGCCAAATCTCCTTGGCTAGGTATGCAACTAGTCAATGGGGATGGTCGGCGAATGGTGCTGACAGAAGAGATCTGTAAGGGAAAGGGGGAGACAAAAATGTGCACGAGTCTCTGTAGTGGTTGCGCAGCGATTGTGAGGAGACTAGTCACCGAAGCTTGTGCCACACAAACAAAAAAGATAGATTGTTCAGGTTAATGGACAGGGGGATAAGCAACGAACTCAAGGTATGCAATACACACAAGAAAAACAGGGTGAACAAAGGAGAAAACAAATGGAAAACAATCTGGGCAACCACAAACCCCGTGACGCTCATCCATAGCCCTAGCACAGAGTAACAATAAAGGGCGCCGCAAAAGGCAAATACCCAAAGTCAAATCTCTGCAGTCACCCTACAAAGAAAAACGAACAGAAACGAGGTACAGTGACATTTACAAAACAGCGGATGGAACTGTGTGACGGATAGGATAGCCCCTGGAAAGTTGTGTAGCCACCTAAGAACAGGCAGTGCGAGCCCAAAAAGCAATCTAGCGTGGTACCAGCTGCCAAGTACAAACTGGTATGCCCAGCGAACTTGGTGGTTCGATAGACGAGTAACGCTTCTCGAGCGCTGATGGGTAAGCAGGATGAGGTTCTTGATGTTCGCAGCAGGCAGTGGTCATGTTTCAGACCAAGTAATGATACTACCGGTCAAAGTTGTGCGCAGTACATCCTGAATGTGACAAATAGGACCTATCCATAGGTGAATGAGATTAAGAAAAGTCACAAGGGCCGTCATGATGCACCTAGTATAACCTGTTCAGTGAGCTGCCCAACAGAGATGATACAAAGGCTTAAATATAAGGACCGGGCAATCACTTCTAGTGATTGTACAGTGATGCTGAGGACAGGCAGTGTACCGGCCTAGCGAGTTGCAGGAAGGTACGCCTAAATAAAGGGGTATTACATGTTGAAATATGCAGTAGTTTGCGTACCGAACGAGGCTGATTCCGAGAGAACTATACGGTCTGCGAACTCTAGGTTTGTCAGCATGTCAAATCGTAGAAGTTTAGTGCATAAATGGCGCGTAGGACAGTCAGGTAGGAAAATTTAAAATAACATTAGAAAGAAGAAACAGAGCAATCCCGCTACACGTCACTTGCCATGAACTACCTATAAAGTCATTTCGATAGAAAAATAAGAGCAATAGGCGCGACAGAAATCACAAAGGTAATTAAGGAACGTTACAGCATTGAAACGCCTGAGCCGGTTCGCGAGAGTCGAGTTTATTTCACTTTCACTCTAGAAATGTTTGTCTCCGAGGAATTCTTTCGCTAGTCCAAACAGGTGGAAACCGGTTAGTGCAAAGTTGATGACGATGTCGTAATAACTCCCAGTCGATTTGTAAAGCTTGAATTGCACGTCGAGCACATTGTAACCGGTCTGTGCTGGTCAAAATCGAAAAATAACGTTAGAACTCCTCTGGTATTCGTTTTTCAGTGCAATAAAGGATCAGGAAGCATTGTGTTTGCTTTCAATGATATGCAACGTGATGATTGTCGACGATAACTCCTTCTACCCAAGAGCCAGGTTGCATCCACGAATTTCGATGGACTCATGGCGTATTTCTTACTTTTGGCCGCCTTTCGAAAGTATAGTCGTTCGAAGGCTTTGGTTGAAAACCCGAGTCGCCCACATTTTCAGGTGACTAACACAAAATATAGATAAATTCCCACTTCATCGATAATCTCGAGGATGTATTAAGAGTTAGCTTATTAAGTACATACAACGAAGTAAGTATGTAAAATATGATACCATTGGAGCCTTGCTTTTTTATCTCCTCTTTCAGCTTCACATTCATCCCCATTGTCACAATTTCACCTGCCTCAACCCCAAGCTTCCACTCCAGCTCAAAGTGCACAAAACGAGACGCCAGAATATGCGTACACTGTTGACCGGGATACAAATCAACACCCAATGCGACGCACTGCTTTGGTCGCTGAAGCACTGATATTGCCGCATTCAGTGAGACTGCTGGCTGACCAGAGCAAGTTGCATAAACAGCGCGCTAGCTGCATCTTTTGCTAGGTGGGAAACGCCACCACAGCACCACGTAAAGATGGTATCGAATTCGTAACATCTGACCGCTTAAATGGACACTTGATGATAGATCCCACTGGCCTTACTCTGAGGTTTATGCAACTTCGCATACGTCTCGGACGGCGGAGGTCTGGGAGGTTATTAGCCCGCATGGTCCCACCACGTGTCATCCCGTGATACGGTTTGCGTCGGGGAACGACCGATTACTCTAACTGAGCCTCGTGATACCCCTAACCAGCGCGAGACTGGTGGTAGTTG